TCGTTGTTGGCCTTTACAGCCGATATTTAACCATTGGGGTAGATTCCGGTTTGTACCAACGTGGAAAACAGGTGCAGACAAGCCATGACACTTTGGCACTTTTACTGTTTACCCACAATGCATTTGTTTTCCCTGGCTGGGGCCTCACACGTCTTTTGTGTGCTTCTTTTCTTATGAACTATTTCTTTTTGTGTCTATTCACTGTATCACTGGCTATAATGATCAACAACTGGGACTGATTATAACTTGGTTATAAGTATATCCATAAGTATATGTATATATAATAATAATTAATAATATATATATTAACTGTTTGTAAATAATCTTGTGTGTTTCGTGGTGTCCAGGGGGATGTGTTCACAGCAGGAGTGTAAAGTTCTTTAAGGGGGGAGTTCTCGTGGTTTTTGGAGAACTACTACGGTCATTCTTACTCGTCCCACGGTGTACCGGGCAGCACGAGTCAGGGGCCGGGGCCTGGGGTTCCTTGGGCCTTCAACAAGGGACGGGGTCATCCATGGGGAGGGAAAACCGGGGTTTTGAAAAAACCAAAACCCTGGCTCACAACTTCTTCCCAGATCCCATCGGAAGGTGAGACGCACACACACACCTGGGGGAGGGCACCTGGCAGGGAAAATATTACACCAAACTCCCTTTAAGAAATATCACATTTAACAATTCCTAACGTGTTCGTAACAACACGTAAACTCTAGAAACACGAGCTAAAGGCCGCATATGTTCCACAGTTCTTGGACTGTCAATACAGGATTCAAGTATCATCCATAAAGATACAGTGTATTACTGATCAATATTCAGTTCCATAAAAGATACAGTGTATACTTGATCAATATTCATCCATAAAGATACAGGTATCTGATCAATATTTCACTCCATTTAAAGATGCGTGTATAACTGATTCAATATCATCCATAAACATACAGTGTATAACTGATCAATACATCCATAAAGATACAGTGATTACTGTATCAATATCATTCATAAACATTACAGTGTTATACTGATTCAAATCATCCATACAGATACAGGTGCTATACTGATTCAATATTCATGAATCAGATTTTTACATTAACCCATTGAATTTGGAGAGGGGTTGTTCCACAGCAAATGTTTTTCAACAATAAAAGGGCCTTTGGTTTCAAAAGTGAAGCGCGTTTCTAGAGGGGCTTTTAATTTTGAAACAGTGGACGGGGAAGTGTTGGGAGGTAAAACAAGTAAACAGAATATTATTAATATTTTATTTAATGAATGAATCTGACACTGGGATCTTTATATAAGAATAATTATAATTAATTGAAGATCACATTAAAATTTGGGAGGAAGTCCTGGAAGGTTCAGAGGAGCGGTCAGGGGAGTCAGGAGGTCACGGAGCGTCGCTCTGCAGGCAGCTTCCTTGTGCTTCTGGAGCGACAAAGTGGGGAACTCTAATTTCACAGGGGAGGAAGGTTTAACAGGGAAACATTGAAAGCTTCCGTCTCTGCCTTTCAGGTCTTCCCCTTCCCCCTCCTCCCCCTCCCCCTCCTGCCTCCCTCCTCCTCCCCGCTCCCCTCCTCCTCCCTCTCCTCCCCTCTTCTCCTCCCTCCCCCCCCTTCCGGTCCTCCTCCTTTCCCCCCCCCTTCCTCCCCCCCTCCTCTCCTCCTCCCCTTCCTCCTTTCCTCCCCCCTCCCCTCCGCTCCTTCCTCTTTCCCTAACCCTAACCACAGACGATTGATATATATTATAATATTATATTATATTATAATTTATTAAATAATAATTAATTTTATAAATATTTATTATATATTGTTATTATTATAATTAATTCATATCCGTTATGTAATTAAAATATTTGTACCAATGAATTTTGCCAAAAATGTTTTGTTTGTGTTGAATTAACGTTATTCCCCCCCCCCTGCAGTCTGCGATGGTACAATGAGCCGTCGCTGCACGAGCTTCGGGAGGGGAGAAGATGCTGAAGGTCCTCGCGGGAGCCCGACGGCTGAACAGCGCGCGAGCGTTGCGACGGAGCCGGGGGAGGCGGGCCACCAGGGAGGTGAGAGCAGCCAGGCGGACTGCACAGAGCAGGAAGGTCATAGCCCGCAGCGCCCCCCCGCAGGCCAGGGAGGAGGAGGAGGAACTCCATTTTTAACACTCCCTCTTTGCTTCAGCAACTTCCAACCACACCGAGACGACGGACAACAACAACAACGATTCGCCACGGGACGGCCAACGGAAAACAAAAAAAAATGAAGCTAAAAAAAAAGAAATAAACGGGGGTTTTCTTTCTTCTTTGTCGTTTAAATCCAAACGGGGGGGGGAGCGAGGCGTGGAGGGGCTTGAGTGATATCAGACGTTTGATTTTTGATGATGCATTTTACATTTTTTATGCAAACAGCCCGCCTTGATAGGCGGCCCGGGAGTTAGCACACCACTCTTCATCGGCCTACATCGCAATCGTCATCGCCTTCCTGGGTCGCGACGGATGACGGGAGCCGGAGAAACTTTCGGAAGCTTTTTTAACGCCATTAGAAAAATTCACTTCCTTGTCATTTCTTTAAACCAATTTTCAAAAAGCACTTTCGGCACTTTTCAACACGGGCCGCGGGGCTTCTTCTCTCTTCCTTCTTTCTTTCTCTCTTCTCTTTCTCTTCTCCTCCGTGTTGGTTCCGTCCAATCAGGAAAAGAAGGGTTTGTTTTCTTGTTTTCCTCAGCCTGGGGCCACTTTCCTGGTTTTTGTTTTGTATTGGTGTTTTGGCTTGTTTGGGGTTTGTTTTCAGGTACACTGCCGTTAAAAGCTTTCAGACGGAGCACGAAGACTTTCCTGTTTGGTGGTTTTTGCAGACCGGCTGCGGGAGCGGCAGGGTCGCGAGGGTTTTTTTAATTTCCGGTTCGTGGTTTGGTGGAGTTGGGATCCGGGCTATTCTGGGAAGCCTTCACTTTTTTCCTGCGTTTCTTGGAATGCACGTCAGTTTTATATATCATATATATATAATGCATTTGGGATTGGACCCTTTTCCTAAAGCCCCCGCCCCGTTTTTTTTCTTTCTTGTCCTCCATAACATCAACTTTCCTCTTTTTCTTTAACTTGAAGGATGTGGTTTATATTTATGCTATCTTTATTTTTTTTAACCATCTTCAAAATGTTTGGTTTGTCTTACATAAACATAGATTAGCTTAGCACATAGCATATTTTCTAAAGCCAACAGGAAAGGGGAGGAAAGGTGGGGGCCGGGCTTAGGTACGGTTGATTTATTGGCGTAATTCAAATTAATTATTTAAAACACATTCAGGTAAATTGGTTTCCCTGGGTTTTGGTCTAACGCTCTTACGTTCATATAAACCACAACAACTTTTTAGGTTTCTTGAGGGGAGGCAAAAACTCACACAAATATTTACAATATATGAATACAACATGGAACTTGCCCAGCAAATGGTGGAAGCTACGGACGCAAACACCAACACAACCTTTCCTCCGTGGGGTCTTTTCGTGCTGCGTTTCAGGGTCCGATCGGGGGTTGGAATCGAGACGCTTGCTGGCAGAAAAGAAATTATTCATGATGCTATTTTTTTCCAAAAGGTGTTAACGACCCCCCCCCCCCAGCGGAGTTTGGGGGGAATCTTGAATGATTATTGGAGCGACACTAACAGCTTTGTGGGTGTAACTTCTGAAATCCGCCTGATCCGGTCTGAAGACGACTGGACTGATCCGGTCTGAAGACGACTGGACTGATCCGGTCTGAACGGGACTGGACTCGATGTGTTCACAGCATGCATTCAGGAGCCTGAAACTCACACGTTGTCCTTCTTTGAACACGATTGTATGCTTTGTTTTTTCGGTGCACGTTCGATTGGTGCACTGTCTCTTTAAGAATGAAACGACCTCTTCGGCTCACGGGCCAATCGGGTGAAAGAGGCGGGGTTTCTGTTTGGATAAAGGCTCCGCCCCCAATCAGTATTACAGCAGCTTCGTGATTGGTTCACTGTTAACGGCTGATTATTGATGATTGAACGGATTGATTGATTAGCTTTGGGCACCAGTGGCATCTCATCAATGTTTATGATTATTGATTATTAGTTACTAATTCACGCTTAGACGAAAGTATTCCTCATTAAATTATTAGTTTAGGCTGTTTAGACAGTTATTGATCTGATCTAACTAGTTAACTTTTGTTTGCTTTGTAGCAAGTTAGCGTTTTGTTTTATAGAGACGTCATATTAGCAAAAAGTTTTTTTAAATCATTAGTCAGCTCACATTTTTCTCCCGCTCACTCGTCCCGCTCGTGTTGCGTTCAGGTGTCGGCTGATTGCGAGGATGTGGTAACATATTTAACACTGCCCTGCTTCGTGTAGACGAAAAGCACTGCCCTGAAAACTGTTCGCTGTTTCACTCCGACTGAGCGTCCTGATGGTCGTTCGGGGCGTTCGGGGCACTCAGACGCCGCACTGCCCTCTCCAACCGCCGCCACTTTTATTCTTCTCTTACTCGAAACCCTTTACTCGTCTCAGAAGTTACCGACCGGCGTTCCCGAAAGCACCTGGATCTTTTCCCAGTTTACAAACAGCCGACCAGCCGACCTCCACTTCCTGTTTCATTCACACAGCCCTTCAAAATAAAGCTCCTTCCTCCTCTAGAAGTTCTATCACTGCCTTCGGAATAACAATAATGTGCTGAAAACGTTTTATACGGATGTATGAAATATTGTTTGTGCCATAACTTTTTACTTTGCATCATTTTGCACAGATTGCATCAGACCCTTCGTAAGCCCCGCCCTCTTTTTGCCCTGTCCTCCAATCACAGTTGAGCAAGCCTCGATCAACTTCCTCCTTTCCTGTACTTAGATATGCTATATGCTAGGCTAATCTACTACATTATAAAGATGGTTAAAAGATAAAAGAGACA